GAAAATGATGATCAATATCCAAATTCAAGGGAAAAAATACTAGAACAAGGGCAGAGAGGGATATTTGTACAGCAGGGGTGGCCAACCGATGCCTCTCGAGGATTTTATTTTGTGAATACTTTAAGTGGTTTTTATGACTGGGCTTTGTAACATGAAATAGGGCTGTACTGACATGGGAATTACTGGGATATCTGACTCCATTCCTGGCTGTGGGGTGAAACCGGTCAGCAGAAGCTGCCACCGCCTGCAACCAGCCCAGCCCTGTCCTGCAGCGGGTTTCCTGTGGACACCTATGAGCCACTCAAATTCCTCTTCGCGCTGGTCTCCAGAGTAGAGTCCACAGTTTTGACTTTAGTTCTGTTGAGATTGTAATAGACATGGTCTTGCCAGGCTGGTTACCTGTGTTGTACAGGGATGATTGTGAATTTTTGCTTTTCTTGGTGATTCAAAATATGGAACTTTTGTCAAAGTGGTATGACAGCTGGAGAATAGCAGAGGTGTCAGTCGTTTTAGCCTCATGGATCCTGTTCATTCACCTAAATTCCTGCTCTAGGGGATTAGGGATGCTGCAGCGGTCACTGAAACTGAGAACAGTGTTAATCATAATAATGGCCTAGTCAATACCGTGAATGCTAGAGTATTGGTTTTGGCTCATTTTTCTAATTCACATCTTCCCACAAGGCACTTTTTCCTCGGATCAGAGATGGTAAGAGGATATGTAATTAGAAAAAAGTTTTTTAAGAATAAAAAGGAATGTGGCATAGATTGCCATGCTAAGAGCAAAATGAGATGGGAGAAAGTACTTTAAAAAGCCTGTTGGCGTTGATGCATTGAACTAACATGTGTTATGTATTGTAGACTAATAGATGTCTCTGTTCAATACTCAACTCAGAGATACTCAATAGAGTATCTCTGTTCAAGGAAGGGTGGAAGCAGGCAGCATGTCATCCAGTTGGCTTGTGTAATTCACCAAGAGGGTTAAATACGCATTTTTCTTCACGGTTCTGAAAGTTTTTCACAATGCATGCTGCTGATCTGATCTGAGCAAAAAAGAAAGATGCACAATGGCATTTTGTAAACAAAAATTGTTGGTGTCCTTACTCTAAGAAAAGCATAGGCTTATGGAATGTAAAACTGAATTAAACTGTGGCTCAAGGTGTCCAATTTGATAGTTTCATCAGCTAATATAAACAGGTTGCAATGCAATGTCCAAAGATAAATCATTTACCTAGAGAAATAAAAGGCTTTTTTTAGGGCCGATTTAGAGTTCTGTACCTCTGCAAGGCAGAGGCTTAAAGCATTAATGTTGAAAGAGTGTGTGTAGTGAAGTTCTACAATGGAAGAAGTTATTGTGCTGTAGAGCTACTTAAAGCTCTCTATGAAGCTGCTGTCAGTGTACTATTTAAAAAAAATTGTAAAGAGTTAACCTCCTTCTGTCCTTGAACGGTTTGGAAGCCACTCCAAAAAACCTTGTAAGTGGGAGCCTAATGTTGTGCCTGATTTTCCTTTTCATTTGCCTCCAAGAGTGTAGCTTTGGCTGAATCCTGTACTATTAGCGAATCAGTGTTAAGGAGGTAAGGAAATTAAGAGTGTTAAGTAAATGGGAGGAGAAGTGATAGGCAAGAAAAAGAAGCAAAGGCTCCGCCGCTGCTTGTGCATAAAAGAACATTCTTCTCCCTTTGATGGGGGAAAAAATTTAAAAGACAAACGTTTTCATGATAGACAATGACTTTAAAAATGAGGGGCATGCAATATCCCATGATGCTTTTGGAAAGCCGAGCTGGAAGGACTGGCCCTGTGAGCATGAAAGAAACGTATAGGGTTAAGAACTCAGCATAAAAAGAGTCCAGACATGAAGCCTTTCAGAGACATAATCCAGATGGATGGATTTCACTATGGAAAATTTGTTCTTGTGGGGAGAAATTATGTGGTAACATGACACATTTTACAAACTCATTTTCCTGAGTTAATGCTATTTAAAAAGTAACTACATAATGACTTCTACATGAAATTCGCTGGGTGCTGTCACCCCCACCAGACATCTGCAAGGACCATTTCTGGTTATGAACAACTTCTCTAAGTATGTTCTGATGTGATGGTTCCAAAAGCTACAGCTAGCAACAGTCATGGGCTGCAGTGGCAACCCTCTTTTCTCTTTTGGTCTGTGGAGGACAGGGGTGTGTTGAAGCAGATGCAAAACTGAGAATCAGCAAGAAAAGCAGTTATGAATCTTACCTTTCTTGGAGAAGGTTTCTGCTGCTGCTGTTTGAGATGCGGATCTTGTTCTGATTTGTTTTCGTGCTGTTTCCTTCTAGTACCTTTACAGCACTGGGATTAGCCAGGCACAAAAGCAGCACGTATTAGGAGACAGCCTCCTGCAATAGTAGTCTTTCTCCAAACCCCAGTAGTTTCTCAGCATAGCGGGGAAGAGGGCAAAAATGATAAAATAGACAGTGATCTTTAACACCGAATGGTGCCAGAGGGGAGAAGCACATGGGTCACGGCTTGTGCAAGGGCAAGAGTAAAGAGTTGTTGTGGAAGAAAGCAAATGTTTGGATGGGTAAGAAAATGGATAGGAAGTAGATTTTGTTCAAGACTGGTATTTGAATGTGTGTTTCTGACATGGAGATATCAATTCTGCTTTTGACTAAGATACTGCCACTCTTGGTCTCTGCCAGAGATAGCTTTCTAATACAGTTCCTGTCCTGCTCAGCTAACACCAGTGTTATCTGCTGCAGGGATTCCAACTGGCGAGAGGAAGAGCCGCTACTGTGGAGGGCGCTCATTGCAACAGAAAGATCAGAAAGGAGCAGTAGAGGGTCGCAGGTGTTATATTTTTGAAGTAACCTTGACAATGACATGAGAGACGCACAGGGATTCTCTGCCCTTTCTAGCCTTTGAACATTTTTATGGTTGCCACAAAGTGATGACCCAGGGGAGCAGTCCTATGCAGCTTTTGCTCAGGATCAGGGCGAAGAGGACCGCTGTCAATGCACATACCAAAGTTAATAGAATTTCCCACTCAAAATTCAATTTTTAAGCATTGGACTCTCCAGGCTTCTCTCAAAATCTACAAGGCTTTTCCAATGGTTTCTTGAGCTTAAACAAAAGATAGAAACATAACTTACATTTGCAAGGTTGTCTCTAGGGAATGGTTGTTAGGAATTCAAGATTCAAAGCTTTTCTGTTTGTGGATAGAGAAAGAAATACCATCCTCCTTGATCTCCTCACATTGAGATGTCTTTCCAGCAGTCTAACCCAATGTTCCAGGGTTTTGTGCATCCTGACCAACAGGATCTTGGATTCTGTATTATTCATACAAACTGAAATAGCATATTTTAAAGTATACAGCAAGCAATCTTTTTTCCTGTCGGAGAGTGCCTAGTCATTTGTTATTAGTTATGGACCAAAGTAATGAAATTCAGATTTGAATCTGAGGTTCCCCACAGTTTGGTTGCATCTTCCAATTCAGTCCTCTCTTTACAGAGGTTCAGCAAAGCACATATTTTTTTAGCAGCAGTCAAATAGTCAGAGTGTCTTTTTGTTTGCTGTTCCCCTCTAAGTAAAGGCGCTCAGCTGCAATTATGCAGTGTTCATTTCATGCTTGCTGTGTTGCAATTATAAAAATTGGCTTCCTGCTTTAACATGATAGTCAATGATCCTCACAGGAGTAGTAGAAAATTTATAAAATGATTTCTCTGAAAATAGCAGTCGATGATTGAGTGGAAAAATATCCCATTTTTAAAATGGGTTGCCTCTCAATTTAAGAGAGTGGAAGAATATCTCATTGTCATGAGTAACAACTGTTTAATTGTCCCGAAGAGCAGTTAGTTGGTCATTTGTATAGTCTGGTTTTTGTTTGTTACTCTCTTTATTATTGTGTATTTATTGTTTATTTCCAAGGACTCAGGCAGTTACAAAATATAATTGTCCTCTCTAAAATCCATCTAAAACCTGACAGGACGTTTTTATCTTCCCTAGCAGCACAAAAATGTTTGCAAGCAATGAGCGTCCCAGCAGAAATCCCACGCTTTTGTGTCTCAGATCTGCTGTTAGAAATCTCTTGACTGACTCTAGATCAGTTTATCTGTGAACATAATTTTCCCAACGAAGGTGCCCCTGGCAAGTGAGTAAGGGAAATTGTTCCTGGAGAAAGTTATGACTGGGGGATGAAGGCTGTTTTGAATTGTAGGGTAAAAGATAATATTTATATTTGGTAATCTCGAAACATGATCCTACTCTCATTGAAACCAGTGGCAATGTTCTTGTCAGCTTTAATGAACGTGGATGTAAATTCCTTATTTTCAACTAATAAATTCACTAGTACCGTTTTGACTTTTTCAGATGTGACTGCTGAAGTATCTGAACTACGTTATTTGTGTCTCAAGTTTTCTGATTTACATTCTGAAATAATACTTGCGGTCTCTTCAGCACATTTCAAATCAAAGTGATCCCCAGTGCTTTACAGAATAGTATGAGGATATATAAAAAAAAGATCACTCCACCTGCTGGAGAAATGCCCCTCTCAGGGATGGGATAGAAAGCTGCTTAACAGCAGCCACCCACAGTTTTAGCACCTTTGAACAGGAAGTAAGGGAAGGACATTCAGTCAATTGATTCAGAAGGAATTAAGGGAAGGGGAGTGTAACTACTCTTGCGGGAATTCAGCCATAGCGTCAAGATTGACTTTTGGTTTCTGCTTGCACTCCTTGTCATTAATCCGACGTGATGTAAAAAACATCAGCATGACTGGAACTGGTTTTAATGTAAATGCCCGGGTGTTACCCCAAATCAAATAAAGACTTGCTCTATGTGACAATATATACATGATGCTGATTTGATCATTTTGGTTTCTGATTAGATATTCTTTTAGGTTTTCTTCAAATGGGGGGAGGCCCTAGTCAGCTTTTTCCTTTCATTGTCGTCTTTGCATCTACTGCTCCCGTCTGCACTCTAAAAACTGCTCTAATGTTTTGAAATATTATTTTCTTATTACACAGGCCAGTCCAGAGCAGCCATGATACCTCCAAAACAGCCAAGGCAACCAAAGGGAGCTTTGGATGATGCCATTGCCTTTGGAGGACTAGTAGACCAGGAGACGATGAACAACTTACAGCCAACACCACCTCCACTGCCAAAGAAAACCATTTTGAGAGCTAACACAGAGCCAACTCCCAGAGACCTCCAGAAGCAGGCTCTGGAGAACAGTCTGTGCATCGTGGCCAATCCCACCTATGACATTGACACCAACTGGGAAGCGAGCAGTGCTTGCTCATCGGTCAGCTTGGAGCTCAAGGTCCTGGACAACGAGTCAGGAGACTCCTTGGACAGGCCTACAGACAAATTAAGAGCAACCACCTCAGCAACTAACAGTGTTTCCAGCCTAACCACTATCAGTATTAAGGACAGGTGTTCCAACAGCATGGAGTCTCTAACAGGGAGACACCTCTCTCAGACTAAGCAGGGCAAGGGCGTCCAGAAGCCACAAAGGCAAGCACTTTATCGAGGAATTGAAAACCGAGAAGAGGTGGTAGGTAAAATCCGAAGTCTTCACACTGACTCACTAAAGAAGCTGGCACTGAAATGTGAAGACTTGTTCATGGCTGGACAAAAAGACCAGTTGCGATTCGGGGTGGACAGCTGGTCGGATTTCAGGCTAACCAGTGACAAGCCATGCTGTGAGGCAGGTGATGCTGTTTACTACACAGCTTCTTATGCAAAAGATCCTCTCAACAATTACGCAGTCAAGGTAAGATGGGTTTCAAAAACGTAACCTTAGACATCAGTAACAAAACCTAACAACAATAACCGTAATTTGCAACAAACCCAACTGGGATAGGTCCTACAAATACAAATAAGTGCTGCTTGCAATGCTATGTGAAAAGTAAAAATTCCAAAATACAGGCTCCTCTTCCTTTCATGAACCATGTATAGCATTAGTATCTGATCTTTAAATTTCATCCTTTTTTTTTTTTTTGGGCAACTATAAAATGATTACAACAATCAGCCAAACTCAGTTACTCTACCATTGTCTTTTTCTAATGAAATAGTGAAAAAGCAACTGTACTTTTAACATTAAGTCTGTCGGCAGTTTTTTGGAATCTTGCAATAGGAAAATCTTTACATTCATCTGTATATGGATTATACTAAAACATTGCTCTTAATTAAGAAAGATTTCACAGTTTTCCACATTTATGGATTTTAAATGCAAATTCTAGACTACTGTATCTTCATACGAAGTCTTAAATTTTCACCAGCATTCATTACCAGCTTTTCAAAAGCTCTGTCTAGCCATCAGCATTGCTTTGTGTGCTATAGAGTGGAGCTTGTCAACATTGGTTGGTTTTGTTGCTCTTTACAAAAAGAACATTTTTTTTGTCTAATTTATTCTTCAGCAAAGCTAATAAAAGAAATAAGATATATGAAATTTACTGTTAATATATTAATGAGAAGTTGACAGCTATCTCACAAGATGGTGTTATTTGAGGTTTATAGAGGTAAGCTCTTGTTTTTCCTGAGTGCTGTATCTCTAGGGTTCTCAGTGCTTATCTAGTAGGATGATAGTGAGAAGAGTCACAGTGGACCAAGAGTCATAATTTGTCAGCCCTCCAGTGTGACTGTAAGCAAATCATTGCACTTCTGACCCTCCTAGTTTAACACACGGCAAACATTGATTACCCAACACAGGTGTGTGAGCCCCACTTCATCATTCCTTGTAGAGCACGTTGAAATTCTCTGAGGGTGGTGCTATGAAAGAGCAAAATGCTGTTGCCTCTCCCACATGACTGTTTAAGAAAAAGAAATAAAATCCTAAAAGGTAAGATTGTTGCAGCTGATATGATACAAAAGTTCTCCTGAAATTGAAGAGAGATCTTTTTAAGCAGATCTGTGAACATAGCTATATTCTTTGGCATTTATCTTTATTTATTAGCCATCCAGGATCTCTTTTTGAAAAGATTTGAAATGTAATGTAGATACCATGTCCATTGGTACGAAAAGCTGAGAACCAGGTCATGAATAAGATCATGAATACTCTATATCTGTCAGTCTGGTCTGGTTGCAGAATCAGTAGTCTGACATTCTTCAGTCCTCCTTTTTATATAAGAACGAAAAAATAGTCTGTCAGACAGACTGTTTGTTATTTTATGCGTTGCAACTGCTTAGCAGCTCTGCAGAAGGAAGAGTTACATTAAATATTGAGTAAAATGCCTCCGTTGATGAAATGCGCTTTACTGTGCAGTTTACGCTGCACAGGGAGCCACAGTACAGGGATAGCTGAGCTGGCTACAGATGAGCTATAGTTCAGAAATTGAAAGAATATGGTGACAGCAGTGAGACCTCAGGCTAAAGTGACTGCCACTTTTGGGACCCAAAGTGGTACTTTTCTATGCATGCAGGTTTGGGTTATCTCTAATCTGGTTTCTCTTTGTGCAGTGTGGGATGTGCCTTTAAAGTATTTCCTGACAGGCAGGAGCTATGCTGTTATTTTCTTAGGAGCATTTAAAAGGATAGCAGGGATCTCTTGTACAAAGCCAGCATAAAGAAAGGACAGCTACCTAGCGCGGTCAAATATATGCTATTTTTTTTTCTCTTGTACTTACAGATGTTATCTTGGAAATCAGTTCACAGACTAACAGAATTTGCTGCAGTGTAATAGGGGTGATGGTTTCTAGAGTGAATGAAGAATCCATAAACTATCATTGAGCTGGAGGTCACAGTGGACTGTTGCGCTGTCATGATGAGAGGAAAAGCTATTCTTGAAAATAACCTCCCTAGCAGTTAATGTGATATAGGAACATACTCTCAATACAAATGTTCTCTGATTTCTTTATAAATCAAGCAGGACCGGCTTAATGGATTACTGTTGTCTTTTCATTTTCTCTCTTTCACTTACCTTACATGTTATGCTTTCAGCTAAGCTGGGTTCTCTTTAGCTGCGTATTTCTTTGGTGCATGTTTTTGTTACTGCATTCTCTGTGCTAATGTATTGATTTATATAACATTTTCTAAACTGTTAGGATTTGTCCATTTGTTTGTTTCCCCTTAAATTCAATTTTAGTGAATTTCAGCTTTGTCTTAGCATTTGCCCCTAAGTTGGGCTTTGAGTTACAAGACCTCAGTCCAGGATCAGATTTTTACAAACTCCTATAATTGCATAATTCAACAGAAACGTGTTGAGATGCTGTAAATTGAGATTTAACAAATACACCAGGCTTACTCGTATGGTTCTCTTACGTGTGAGCCAAATTACATATTCATCCATCTCCAACAACTGTCATTTAAAACCCCTTGCCCCCAAAACAGAATGTCAAAAAATGGTGAGATTAAAATTACTGGTGTCTCTAACGAATCCAAAATACGGTATTTCTATTACTATTAAACAAGTGAAAGTAGCAGAAGGAGCCTTAAAAATACACTTTCAAAGTGTACATGGAACCACATCTGACAGTGTCAGTTTGTACAGCTCTTTTGAGTTTAGTAAAAATACCCAAGCAACACCGGCTAACAATTAAAACTCTTTCTAAATTTGGTGATTTTAATATTTGATTTGAGAGAATGTGATAATAGGAAAAATGTTTTTTTCATTACATCTTTGTAGACAACAAATGAGATTGACCCCCCCAAAGATGTTAAAGGTCTTAAGTCACTAGTCAAAAAGTGCATGTTAATGCCAGATCTCCAAAAGGAAAAATACAAAAGCAATGCTAAATTAAGCAACTGTTTGACTACTACTGAAATGATTCTAGAAGAATGAACATTTGTGTAGATGGTATCACCAGAAGAAGGTGATCTGATAAATCTGGAGGAGAATGAGGTAGAGCACAACTTGTTCTGTTTGACTTGGATATTAGAGGGAAGAGCATTGCTTATAGAGCTGTGCAGTTCCCGTCATAACATTATATTATGTGTCTTGCTTTATTCTCACCTAATCTACTAATAAATGTCTTTGCACAAAAGTTGCAGGAGGCCATGTGGAAATTACCTTGACTCAAACATTAGAAACAAAAACATTAAACCCAGTCAAGGTTATTGAAATTGCTTTTCCAACATGCAAAAATAGAAGTATTCTTACAAGAAAGGTTTTCCTGAAATTCCAGCCCCTGAGGTATTTTTCCTTCACTAACAAGTGCAGTACCATCTTCTAAATAATTGGTAGATCTGAGACGTCAAGGATGTACACTCCCTTGAAACTACAGTCTTATCAGTAATTCCAAATATGTAGTGAAAAGGTTACGCTAAAATAAAAGCGGTAGTGAGAACCAGCGTAAAGTGGATTGGACAAGTGCAATTCCGAGTATCCCTACACATACTGAATAAGGCTGCTGCTTACCACAAAAAAAAAAAAAAAAAAAGTCAGGAATAGACATGATTACTCAGAATGAATAATGGTTACAGAAGATTAATTACTGTGTCAGTGACGTGGAGGAAACTACTTCCACTTTCTGCAACAAACTCCCTCAAGGCTGAGACAGCACAGACAGTTCCTGTACAATACTGTACACACGTAGAAATCATAATTCAGAAGCCACATGGAACAATACAAATGTAGAAAAGAAAAGAGGTGAGACTGGCCTAGAGCCTGTGTATCCTGGCCCCAGGCATGTGCTGCAATGCAGTTCAAGTGGGATATGCAGGAATTGCAAAGGTGCCAGCAGGAGCTCAAAAGGAGCAGCTGGAAATTTCAATCCCCTTTGATTTCATCAGGGCAGCAGAAGTTCTTCTTGCAGTAAAACATTAGGATTTCTGCTAAGGTTCATGTCCCAAGAATAAAATACAGCAAATTAGATGTAAATAACACTTGGCTGAATTTTGCTAACAGTTTCCTACTTGCAGCTCACAATTATTTTCTAGTTAGGATTAGTTTGTCAGGGCATGCAAAGTTTACTTTTTTGGTAGTTCAGTTTCTTAGCTGAGGTCCCTGGCCGAAGTGTTATCAAAGATCATCCCAGAACTTCATGCCTCAGATCAAAATGAAGTTATATACATTAAACCTTTAACCCATTCCGAGTTCAGTCACAGCAGCGCAGATTTCTGTATTTTGGCACAGTGGTAAAAAGACAAAGCTGTACTCCAAGGCCAGATCAAGAAAATAAGGTCAATCAGAGATCAACTGGACTCCTTAGAAAGGAAAGTAGTGCCAAGAACAAGCTATCAATTTGGGATTAGCAAGCTTTCAATTTGACACATTTTCTTTTGCAGTTGGGCCTTTGTGTAATACAGCAAAGTAGCACAGATGGTGCAGTGTTTGTGATGTTCAGTGTTTCTCATTTTCATCGCTTTACAATTCATTTCCCACAATATTCATCTTGCTTTAAGTTCATTGACACCCTGTGAAATGCATAGGACAGAGTGGAAATGCGATTCCCTGCTGGTAAAGTGGAAGTCCGCTGATGTGGGCTGACTGGACCCATAATGGAAGAATAAAAGCTACTGGCGAGCAGTTTTCAGGAGCTCTGCAATGTTAAAATCTTGCTTCTTTGTGAGATGGGGGGGAAAAAAAGAAAATTAAAATGGCAAGAGATAGAGAAACTTGGCCTGTCCTGATAAATGCAAGCATAGTTTGGTTCCTGCAGTTTCACTGCTGAAGATACAAGGTAATATACCCTAGAGATGGAAACTTTCAGTTCCTTCATATTCATCTCTCTCTCCTTTTATCTCATTGTTTTCTTGCATCATATGGAAGGGAAGGGCTTTCAACCAACATTACCTCATGCTTTTATCAGCCCTTTATCAGCATTGGAAATAAGG